CCGACCTGAGCACCAAAGGGTCTCAGGTTCGATTCCCAGTCAAGAGCATGTACCTGGGTTGTGGCTTGCTCCCTGCTGTCCAGAGGCATCCAATCAATGTGTTTCTTTCACAGCCCAGTTTCTCTCTCTCCTCTGTCCTCTGCCCACTGCCTTCTCCCTCCCTCCCTTCCTCTTCCCTGCCCCTTCTCACTCCCTCCCTTCCGCTCTCTGAAAAGCAATGGGGGAAAATATCCTCAGATGAGGATTAACAACAAAAATAAAAAAATAAATGTGTTTCTGAATCTCTTCTCAGATGTTTGTTTATTGTTACCCCTCTTATTTTCAAAGTGAAAAAAGGAACTATCAAATAATAATAAAGTCTATGAAACAAAAAACTATGATAGAGAAAACAAAAATTTCAATAGATGACGAATTAGAGAAATTGCCAAGAAAGTAGTATGAAAGTCATGAATGTAATTTCTAAATACTGATTTAACAACAACAAAAAGGAATAATAGCTATACCAAAAGGGAAGTGGAGAAAAGGAGTGACTTAAGAAAGCTAAATCCTGCCCGGCCGGCATGACTCAGTGGTTGAGTGCCAACCTATGAACCAGGAAGTCACAGTTCAATTCCTAGTCAGGGCACATGCCCAGGTTGGTCAACCTATGAACCAGGAAGTCACGGTTTGATTCCCAGTCAGGGCACATGCCCAGGTTGCAGACTCGATCCCTAGTAGGGGCATGCAGGAGGCAGCCAATCAATGAATCTCTTTTATCATTGATGTTTCTATCTCTCTCTCCCTCTCTTTTCCTCTCTGAAATCAATAAAAATATTTTTTTTTTTAAAAAAAGCTAAATCCTCACCTGATATATAGTAGGGAATCAGTAGCTAATGTCTTAAAATGATGACTCAGGACAGAGGAGATGCATAATATGTAGTCTATGAGGTAAATACTAGGAAAAAAATAAAAAATTTAATAACAGAGTTGGAAGTGTTTGTCTCTGGTTTTTAAAGGGGTACATATATTCATTTGACAAGTCAGTTTTTAAAAAGTGATTTAAACTTGCCTTAGCCAGTGTAGCTTGGTTGGTTGGAGCGTCATCCTGTACACTGAAAAGTTGTAGACTAGATTCCCAATCAGGGCACATACTTAGGTTGTGGGTTCAATCCCCAGTCGGGGAGTGTACAAGAGGCAACCAGTCAAATGTTTCTCCCTCACATCGATGTTTCTGTCTTGTCTAAAAATCAGTGACTATGTCCTTGGGTGAGGATAAAAAAAAAATATATTTTTAATCATATATGTATACATATTTTTTAAGGACAAGTCTATTTGGCTTATGTATATAGATTAGAGATAAATTAATGTGCAGAAGTATAGGTTATAGGAGAGTTCTTACTTCCAAGTGAGCTTTGTTTTGAATTTATATTATGCATTACTTTAAATAATCATATGCAGATGGGCTTTTATAGAATGTGAGCAACATCTATTGATTTATCAAGTTTTAAAGGATAACAATGAGTGATGAACATGTTAAGAAAATTAAAGTGCGGCTATTAAAAGAATTATGAACATTTATAATTACTTAAGGAATTTTTTAAAAAATTATTTCGACCTCATTACAAGCACCCAAGAAAGAACATTTTCCAGCAGGGGATCCTCAAGTTCACTACACTTCACAGGTGTCGAATGGCGGGTCAAAGTAGTCACTGGGTCACAAGCCTTTCCCACGCCTCACAAGCTCCAGGGCCTTTCTAGGGTGTGGACTGGGTGAGAGCACCTAATAAAAACTTTTGGATAGATAGAACTTGTTAAAGGAACAAGTTCAAAATCATCTCCTCTACCAAAATTTGCCAAAAGTAACTTTATGAAGTCAAGTCTTCAAAGGTCAATCCTACTTCAAGAACGTTAGTTTCTTCTCTAGCATTTTTTTGCACATAAAGACAACTCCGTTATCATGTGTT